AGGCGCTGACCTCCAACAAAAAGAATAAGTAATTTTATCGGAATACAAGAGTTTTTTCTTTTTGAAATCCGAGTAGAAAGCGTACAGGTTGCATTCGAATACAACGTGTGCGTTTTCTATTTGAGGAACTCTGCTATTTGAGAAAAGTGGACCCGCACCGTTTCAATTTCGAAAAAGGACTGCGGCCTCCTCGGCCTCCTATGCGCAGCTACCAGTCCTACGCGGTCCGGGACCAGTTACCGATCCTGCAGTTTCAAATAAGATGCCACAAGCCCCTAAACTGCCATGCCTTGTTTTTCCAGCCTTCCAACGACCATATAATTAACGACGACGAAAAATGTTCTCAGGGGCATAAAATGGACCCCTGACAGGCTGCGAACATGCCCCCCCCCCTACTCTGCTGGGGGCCATGTTTGGGAAAGGAATGCTGCGATCGGGGAGCGATTTTCCAGACCGCCGACCATGTAGAAACGCCCCGTCAGCATTTCGGCAACCCCTTTCCATCACCGGTCGGGTCTGGAAAACCTTTCCAAAGAGGCTTTCCACACCTCTTTCCATCACCGGTGGGGTCTCCAAAACCATAGGGCGCTTTTTTTTTTCCAAGCCGCCGTCCGGTGGGGTCCACCTCTTAGCCCAAACTTAGCACCACCAGTCAGCAGTGACCTTCCGGCGGTAGTCCATTACCAACCCTGGCAATCAGAACCAACCCTGGCAATCAGAAGAGCACGGTAGTCAACGCCGAGTCAATCCAGCTGTTTGGTGTACTTGAAGGTCGTTTTCAAATTCAAAGCCTTGTTCAGCTGATGCCCACCTGTGGTGGGGGCTCGCTGCACTACTCTCGACATGCACAAAAGACAAAAATCATTGCCGTGTATCTTTCCATATTCTAGCGGAAGATTCGCGCTCGTCTTGCACATTTCGACAGTAGTGCAGCGAGGCCCGTGCTCTCTGTCGGAATGGCCTTGGCACTCTCGGCAATACCGAGGGGCTGGAGTCCGTCGACAGGAACAACTGGCGGTTTCTTGTGGCAAGGCGGAAAGTGTGGGAGTCTCTACCGTAGTCCGTCTCGCATCGAAGATGACACAGAAAACTGAGCAGAGGGAAGGTGACATGGTGATCGCTTATAATCTACTTGACTATGTGCTGCGTCGCCTTCGTGGGTGTGACGACGTGCCACGTGGCATATATGGCCACCGGTGGATCAGATCTGTCGTCTGGTTGAAGGGGGACCACGTGTTGAATGGATAATGTATTGGGTTTTCATCATTCCCGAAGTCGTTGGTACTACTGCGTTATCCGAATGGTTTCAACTGTTAGCAGCATGCCGTGATGGGCCATTGGCAGTTAACCACGTGGCGGCCTCTCACTACATGTGTCTCATCAATTCTATCAGCATTCGCGCTTGCAGGTCAGGGCGATCCTTTCCAGAGTTATATCTTTCACACCCGGCTTTCAATGAGGGTGTCCTTCTTGGAGGTGTAAGGGTTTCATTCCACGGAACTCGAAATCGCACGCCAAACATGTCATTGCAGCCGTCTATGCGAGTAATTTACGGCCGTAGGCTTCTACCATTTGCTTGTGTCTAGTGCAGTGGAGCGATCCCCTGTGTCGTTCTCTTTGCCGTTTCGGCCTTTTATGCGACGTACTCTCTCTCTCTCTCTCTCTCTCTCTCTCTCTCTCTCTCTCTCTCTCTCTCTCTCTCTCTCTCTCTCCCTGCCTATCTACCTGTCTACCGACCAACATACCTATGTGATTCTGATTTCAATCAGTTACCACCTACGGGAGAAGATGAAAAACAGCAGCACCAACGTTGTTGGTGATTCGCCGTTGCAAGTTCAGTATCGTCCACTTTTGCTTAACTGTTCTCTCTCTCTCTCTCTCTCTCTCTCTCTCTCTCTC